GAATAGAAGCGGAACTATTGCGTCTGAAGTGACAGTATGTTTGTCATCGATACAAAAATGAGCATCGAACAAAAAGCTAGCATTAAGTTTTGTTTTAAACTTGGTAAAACTGTTACCGAAACGTTTCAATTGATGAACCAAGTTTATGGTGATGATTGTTTATCCCGTAGCAGAGATCATAAGTGGTATACTCGGTTTAAAAACCGGTCGTAAGGACATAAATGATGAGCAACATGATGGCCAACCAAAATTTGTGATCAACGTAGATTCCATCAAAACTGTGCGTGAATTCATCAAATTATCGGCCAAAATCTTCATTGAAATTCATGGAATTACAAGTGAGCGTCCCAAAAAGCATGAATTTATCGCATTTGGGCTACCGAAAAGTGTGTGCTCGGAGTGTCCTGTTCCTGTACAAGTTGACTGACGACCAAAAATTGCTCAGAATTCGAAGGACATCAAGGAGGCAAAAAAGGACAAAAACTTCCTTTACAACATTTTGACTGGTGATAAATCGTGCTATTTTCAATAGGATCAAGAAACCAAGGGCCAAAGTGACGAGTGGAAGGCGCCAGACAAGTCAAAACCCAAAAAATCTCGTTTGAAGAAGTCAAAAGTGAAGGCAATGTTGGTTTGCTTTTACGATCCCAAGGGCATTGTCAACAAAGAGTTCGTTCCACCGGGCCAAACCGTTAATGCACGATTCTATCTTGGCGTTTTGAAGCGTTTGGTGCTTCGTATTCGCCCAGAATATCGCGTGGAAGGAAGTTGGCGTTTGTTACACGATAATGCGCCATCTCACTGATCGATACTTGAAACCGATTTTTTTGAATAAAAATCGCATTTTAGCTGTAAACCACCTTCCCTACTCGCCTGATTTGGCACCGTGCGACTTTTATCTTTTCCAGAAAATGCATTTGCCGATGAAAGGAAAGCGTTTTGTAGATGTAGAAGCCCTCCAAAAGGTTTGCACCGACGATATCCTAAAGGACATCCCGACCGACGATTTAAAACACTCATTCGAAATGGGACTATTTTAAATAAAAATAAATCGGTTTTGCCGAAAACAAAACTTAGTTCTTATTTTTAAAAAGTACTGTTTACTTTGAAATGCACATTGCAGATTATGACATTTTGTGCATTGAAGAGGAATTAGACAGCACTGGCAGCGTTTTTTTTTAATATTCCTTCTAATTGTACTTGTGTGATAAAAAAACATAAAAAATGGGGACAAACACCCATTGTCCATCGACATTGCCAGTGCCGACGCCAGGGATCGAACCCAGACCAGAATAGGAAGTCTGGAGCACGTGGATTCGATAACTTATATACAGAAAGCTGTAGCTTCAGAACAGTAGTTTTTCAGACCTAGGTCCCATGGACTTGATCGAGACATTGAGGACTATTCGGCAAAGTTTCGTACCATTCGATCGGGACCGGTTTTCCATAAGGATAGTTGCGGGGTCTTTTTCTATGTGGGTTTTCAAATAACTCTATGGCATAAATAGAATGGATTCTAAACAGTACAGCAGTATCCTAGTTTAGTTCTAACATACCAAAAATACAAAATAATGAGTGAAGCGATATTAGTAAACGAAATAAAATAAACTCTTTTTTTGAGATAAAACCGAACAGTTTTTAAAATTCCATACCTGTGAGGCCCAAAAGCGAGTTGTTTTACGCATGTTTATGCGTTTTGTTCTTAAAATTACTTTTTATAATAAAGAAAATTAGTTGTTTTTCAAACCTTAGCATTCTCTAAATAATTTTTTGTGTACCTATATCTTACTAGAATTATGTTAAGCTAATTTGGAGGTCAGGAAAAATGATAAATTTTATATAGACACTGCGAAAATTGAAATTTCTTCACTTTTTCTATTTGAAATTCCCTTCTAAAATTGAGAGTATCGACGCAAATTTGTAACCAATCACGGTGTACACACTTTATATTAACATCTTTAAAATTCTCGAAATAACAATTGTCTAATTTATTCTAAATTACAAAGTTACAGTTACTCCAGAACCGTTTTACTTGTAAATACATAGAAAACGTAATTGTGTAGTTCAGGAGCGTAGGTGCATGTTACTTTCCATATCATACATATCCGCTCCTCCACTTTTGCGGTTTGGTTTTCCCCGCGAACACCCTTTGTACGCTGACCGTAGCGGCTCGCTTATTATGCGTGCGTACACTCGGGCTGTTCATTGTTCTCGTCTTTTTATATTTAGATAGGCGCCGCGCGCCTTGAATTTCAATTAGACACCTACCTGGTACAGATGTTGATCCACCGGTGGCGGTTCTTTGAGCGTTGTTGGACTTGTTTGATGGTGGACTTATTGCGGATAATGCCACGGGATGGGGTGTTATTATAATGCCGATGATTGATTTCTCGGTATCGGTCTGTTTGTTGATAAATTGGTTACTGCTTCTTGAGTTTTATTGGTTTCACTTTGATTCCTGCCCTCCTGATGGAACAATTAAATGTCAATATACAGGGTGTTTCGCATAAGAACTAACACAGAGCAGGGGCGTGATGGGGAATTAACGCAACTTACACCTTTATACTTAGCTGCACCCCTGAGAAATTATAGGCCTTGAAAGTGGGAGAGTTTACACTTCTTGTCAGTCGCCACATTATGTTGCTTCTCCTAGAGTAGAACTTGAAACAGTGACGAAAAAAGTAAATTTCCCTCTTTTTTCAACCAATTTAAAGAAATTATATTAATATAACAAAGCTTTTTACAATTTGTCGTTATTGTGTTGATTTTTTAAGAAAAATCAGTGGCGTATCATTTTTTTCTTTAAAAATATCCAAAGACGTGCCTGCACGCACGCCCCTGGTGAAACTAAAAACAATATTTTCATCATGAAACATGTATTGTTAATTGTCAAAGCTGGTAAAATTTCATTAAAATATCCTGAGCGGTTTCCGCAATATTTATAAATTTGTATTTTTTTATTAAAACTTTATCACCCTGTAGATCAGATACTAAGCGTAAGTCGGTGCAAGGAATGCATCGACTTACCAAACGTCCTGTATATGGTTCAAATCTATTAATATTAGAATTTAAGTTACATCTTGTAATGAAACAATGTATATTATACAGAGTGTTTCATAATGATGTGCAAATATTTTAAGAAGGTGTTCAGAAAGTAATTTTAGAGGGGTACTTCCTATATTTTTTTTTTTATTTGAGCCCCCCCTGAGAAAATAATCAAATCTCAAAATGGCCGAACAAATTAGCTTTTATTTTTTTTCACGAAAACGGTTACACATAGAAATTTGAATTTTGGTACACGTTAACAACTAGTTGAATGGTATTTTTTGGTAGTTTTTTTTTCTGGCTTACGCCTTTGAATGAAAGAAATTAGCACCCGTTGATTTTATTTCTCTCACAACTTTTTTCTACGTTAGCCAATTCCAACCAGAAAAATAGCTTTCATTACTACATTTCATTTAGAAACTTTTTTACTCTTCCCATTTTTTCGTATACTTAATGATTTATGAGCAAAAAAATAAATTATTTTTCCTTCTCGATTAGGTGCACATAATTAGTATAACAGTTATAGTCTTTCCGAAGTCAGTTGAACATGTAAAAAAACGCTTGGCAATGAAATTGAATGACTTTCATAGGCGTCCCTAAAAAAAGTTTCTGCTAAAAGTGAAAAATTATAATAATTTTTATATAATGTGTAGAAATGTGTATATTATATGTTCATTTGGCCAACAACATATTTTAATTATTTATAATTTTAATCAATTTTATTATATTGATGGCAAGTTTCGTTTTGTTCCGTTGCAAAGTGTCATGTTGTAATAATAGCTTTGTTCGTAAACCTACACAACGTGTAGTGTAGTGGAATTCAGTGTTACACTAAAATAATAATTGTGCACCACTTTTAGAGAAAACATTTGGCTGTTCGTTAATTCAATTTGGGTAAACTTAAACTGGCATAACCTAATTGTAAATCATGGTTGTGATGAGTGAATTATTTAGTGACTCTGGAAGCGAATCGGAATCAGATGATGAAGATTACCTTCGTAAAAAAAGAAAAATTCATGTTTTATTGGCGACCTGTTTCCAAAAAAATAAAAGAAAGTGCATTACAAATTTTATAGAACTTGTTCGAAACTGTGAGGAAGACGAATTTATCAGCCATTTCAGAGTAAAATCAAATATTGCCAAATTTTTAATGATCTATCTAAAATATCTACCAAGATGTGACATTTGTGATAAAAGCTTCATTTTCGCGCCACAAATATACTACACTACACTTTTACACCACCTTGTTAGTCAGTGTAGTAGTGTCTGCACTATTACACTACACTGGACTTTTCGAACACCTGGATTATACCTGCACTTGGCTACACTGCAATAAACGAACAACGTATTACTACACTAGTGCAGCAGTGGAAGGTTTACGAACAAAGCTAATATTATTTCTCCCTTTCGCAATTATAATATCACTGATTAATAGAAGGTGCCTATAGTAAATTAAAATTACCCGAATCACACCAAATTCCGCATTGCTACACTGCACTGCTGGGCAATTTGTCAACCACTTGTCAACAGCTGAGATTTATTGCCCAGTGACCCAATGCAGTTGTGTTTTTATTTCGTTTGCCCGCGCTCGCATTCTTCAACTGGGCGTATACATTTCTACCACCTCCACGATTAGTTCGACCAGACCTGTATATTGGTATGACTAAATAAATAAGGGAACAAGTTTAAGTAACAACAAGTCAATGCCGAGTTGCTGCGTCAGCGACCGAAGCTAATTTTTTCGGCCATTTTGAGATTTGACTATTTTCTCGGGGGAGGCTCAAATCGAAAAAATGTATTGGAAGTACCCCCCCTAAAATTACATTTTAAACATTATGAAACACCCTGTATATACACAGTGAATCAGTTTTTTTGGAGCAATGTAATTTTAATAATTAATAGAAAAAGCAGTCTGAAAATAACTTTTTGTTACAGATTTTGTATTCTTGTTTCAGAATGCTGGGAGTCAGACCCCCACAGACGGCCATCCTTCGAACTTATCCTAGAAGACTTGGACAATATCGTTCACTCCTCATTTACACAAACACCTCACGAAAGTTTTCACATCATGCAAGACGACTGGCGGCAGGAGATCGAGGAAGTCCTGCTGGAACTGCGCAGGAAAGAAAAGGTATGGAAGGTGAAGCCTTTGGCAAAATAGAATTATTCAGAATTATTTAGATTTAGCATTGATTGGTGTTCAATTATTGTGTGACTGGTAAGCTCATATATTTATTTGTGGGCAAAAATTTTCACATAGTAATAAAGAGCTAAATTTTACATTTGGTAAAAAAATTGTATCTATTGTGCGTTAATATGGATGTATTTATAAAACTTGATAATATGAACCTGTAAACTATTTTAAATTTTCTACTTCCAATGGGTTATAATGTTTTAGAATGTTTGTAGTCAGTTGTTTTTGTGACTGTATTTTGATCGCATAAACAATTTCTTTGATATACTCGCAAATCTAAAATCAAGAGGCTTTATGTCTGGGATTGGAAGAGGAAAACTAATATCGAAATGTAACGCCTCTTGATTTTTATGTTTGGGGGCATATCAAAGGAATCCTGTATGCAACAAAAATATACAAGGGGAACAAGTGATGAATTGAAGACACACAGTAATATAGGTACCAAATAAGTTTTCAAAAATTATGGAAACCAACATAAGAAAAGACACTCCTACTCGTGCAAGAAAACGAGGTTTATTGAATTTTATTTTATTTATTATTTATCCCACTATCTTTATTCAGGATGAGGAGAAAATCTCACCTAGAAAAAATTACGCTTAAAACTGCCCTATTAAAGGAAAATCTTCAGATGTTTGGTGTTTCTGATTCCAGAACAATGTGTTCTTATTCATTTTTAACATATTCAGAATCTTCATCAGCTTGTTTTAGAGGCAGCAATAGTGTAATGATTTTTTTATTAAAACAATTTCTAAAGATTTTTTGAAATGTACGGTTACTATATTATTTAAATTGGCAAAGATAATGGTCGGAACCCTTTATATGCTAGATTTTAACAAATTCTCAATTTTCCCATTTTTTTTTTCAAATTATCTGGAAAAATAACCACTTTTTTCAACTCCTAATTTTCTAGAAATTTTGGTGCTCCGTTCGCACCCACATTTCCAATTTTTTTATTATGTATATGATTAAATAATGTTTCCTAGAACATTGTACCTCATTAAAGGTAATAGCAATTTTTAAACTAGTTTGTATGTTTCACGTAGCAAATGTTGGCAACATATTTACTCGAATGTACAGTTAAATTTAATTTTTTTACGGCAAGTGTAAAATTTTGCTCTTATATTTAAATTATATCAAAATTGTTACCTTAGTCTTTGTTAAATAACTTGCTTTATTTGTTTACTAACACAAAATATAAAAATTAAAAAAAAAATAGATGAAAATTTTCATAATATAGTTTTGTATAATGCAAGTGCTCCACACTCACAGTCATCAACTTACCAGCTACCCAATGTCCACAAATATTTGCCAGTTCTAATTTTATCGTTGTAATATCCCATTAATAATCACTTTCCTTTTTTCTATTCAATGCTTTCCTTGTATCGTCAGGCTTGTAAATCTTACGAAGAGGTAAATACTTTCTGTCATATTCTAATCTTGATAGCATTCGTCCACCTGTTGAACGTTCTCTTTTTAGGAGTTGCGGTGTCGAGAGGAGGACTTGAACAGAGCCCAGTTGCAGCAGAGGATGCACGAGGAGCAGTTGCGACAGAAGGAGCAGGAGCTGCAAGCCAGAGAAATCGATTTACTCGAACGAGAGCTTGATTTTATGATCAAGCAGCAGACGCCCACGCCACTTAAACGAAAAGGTAAAGAGTATGTTGTTTGAAAAATATGCAGTGTACCAGTGAGTTTTGCCGTTACCACCTACATTATAAAACTTCTTAACATCAGGGTTGCATAAGTTTGAATGTTGTGTTGATGTTTTATCAATGTTGCGCAGCGTCAATTTCTTTGTATTGCACGTAGTGAAGGCTTTACTGAGGGTTAATTTTCTGACAATTGCTGTTCTTCTTTTCAGGCAAATTCAAACGATCTAGGTTAAAATTACTTAAAAAGGAGCCTGGTACGAACATCAGCTTCCCATCGGATTTTAGGCACACGATAACAGTTCAACATACTCTAGACCCCAAAGTTATTACATCACCAAATAGTCCCCCGGGATCCCCGGCGATACCAAGGCTTCGCGCAATAGCACGTGAGTACTGTTTTTCTCTGTCGCTTCCATAAAACGTGTAACATCGCACATAAAATTTTTGTAGGTCGTTTTGAATGATAATAAAAAAATTGTTAAAAGATACTAACAAACAAGGAAATAATGAGACAACCTGCCCTGTATTGTTTTGTTTTTGTACGAAATCATTGCTGGAGATCAAAAAAATAATTAAAACTAAAACGAATTTGGCGATCAACTGCGACATACTAAACTGAGCCTTAATTGCGCCCTCTGTCAGTAGGAAGCTCAACTAAAATCTCATGCTACTGTCCTCCTTTTCGTTAGTAAGCGCGAGTTGAATTAAAATTTTTAAAATAAAAAATGTATATAAGGAGTTCTTAGCGAAATTCTTATACGGTTACGTCATGGTAGAATAATATTCAGTGATAAACTATAATTTTTTTTATGCATACTCTGATGCCTTTTTCGGTAAATTTCCCTATAGTTCCCAAGAAAAATTATTTAGAGAATTGAATTTCCCATCAAAATGGCTTATTTAAAACATTTAAAAGGAAAATTTTATGCAAAAAATCGTTAATAAACAATTTGAAAAAAATACAAAAAATTTGATTTTTTATTTTTTTTACTTTTTTGCCTCGTTTTTTTTGAGTAAAGATAGGTATAGGCATTGCTTCATAAAAAAAAGGAGATAACATTTTCTTAAAAAAAAAGCGGTTGTACAGTATTTTTGGATGAGAATTGATTGATATATGGCCGTTCAACCTTTCGATTTTCGTCCCGTTTACCCTTATATGTTTTAATTCTCATTTTTGCAAAAAAAGGAAGGATTTGTTCAAGGATTTTCATCACATGACTTGTTTGAAGGGTCATTAAAAATGAAAAAACCACGGGGTGCTATTAAATTAGAGGGTTGAAATTAAAGATAGGGGTGAAAATGCACTTTTGCAGTTTTTTAAATATAGCACGAAAACGAAACAAAATTTCGGTGTAGTTCATAGGGAGAATTTCGTAGAGAATTGAATTTCCCATCGAAGTGGCTTATTTAAAAAATTTAAGAGAAAAATTTTATGACAAATTGTTAATAACAATTTAAAAAAAAGCAAAAAATAAGATTTTGATTTTTTTGCTTTTTTGACTAATTTATGTTAAAGACGACGAAAATCTAAATATATTTAAGTTTGATCGGTAATAACTCGGTCAATATTAGTCCAAAAACTTTTGAAAACGCATCATTTTGAGGGGAATCTCGTCTAGTTTTTTTGTACAGCAACTTTCTTTGCCTACTTCTGCTAAAAAAAATTAATCAAAAAAAAAAAACATCTTATTTTTTACTTTTTTGAAATTGTTTATTAACGATTTTTTACATAAAATTTCCCTTTTACATTTTTTTATAAGCCATTTCGATGGGAAATTCAATTCTCTAAATAATTTTTCCTGTGAACTATGTATAGCGAAATTTTGCTTCGTTTTCGAGCTACAATTAAAAAATTGAAAGTGGTGCATTTTCACCCCTGGGGAAATAAAAAAAATATGTGTGGCGAATAGTATTATTTTTTTTGTCAATTTCAAGAACGCCAGACTTACAAAAAGACAAAATAATTTATACTAGTTACTTTTATACATATTAAATTATATCGGTAGAACTATTTTATTACTTTTAGTGATAATAAAAAATTTTCTTGCAAAAAATCTAATTTAATTTCAACTTAAATTTTAAATTTAATGTTTTTATTAATTTTGTGATAGTAATCCAGATCAAATAAATAATTAGATAAATGTAATTGTTTTATTTTTGACTCCTGGACTGGCCAAAAGTGGTCTGATCGCTGTTTAATTATTTTTTTGGGACACCCTGTATATTTAAATATTGTTATCAGTGTCCTTTTGCCTTTTTTTTTCTCCAATTTCCACCCTCTAATTTAATATACTCCGCGGTGTTTTCATCTAAAATGACCCTTTGAACAATTCATGCAATAAAATTGCTTGAACGTCATAGTTCCTTTTAACCCTGTTCTTTTTTTGGCTATAATCAATCACCTATTAGTCCAATGCCTTTTTTTAAAGTTAGGCTCCTTCAGGACATTTTCTCCATGTTTTTAAGATAACCGTTAGTTAGGTATTTAATGAAATTTATAGAAATATAAAAAAAAAACCAAGGATAACTCTGTATTGGAGACCTGCAACCTTTTAAAAAAGTAAAATTGTACAAGGTAACTTGATCTAAATCAGTTTATTTTCATAGAAGAAAGGTATCCCTGAAGAAAGGACTATTTTATATATAGTTGCAATTAATATTGGAGACCTACGAAAATTTTATGTTCGAAACGACAATTTGAATTTTCAGCATTTTTGGCATGGTGTTTTCATTGCATGGTACTTTTCACAATTGTGTGTGTTTTTAGAAGCTGCTTCAAATTAGGTGATGTCCTCCTTTTTTGTTTATTTATTTAGTTTTGAAAATTTTGTCACATATATTTTGGTCTTACGCATCAGCAAAATATACTCCTGTAAACAGAGATCATTTCTAAATTTAAGTACGAAAACTACGATCTAACAGTAAGTAACTTACTGAAAGAATATTATTAGCTGTTTGTACATTTTTTTATTCATAATAAACTGTTTACACACTACTGATTGGTATGTGTATTTATTTAATAGGCGTAATAAACAATGTAGCTGATACTTTATAAATGCTAATGATCAATGATAATGGTCGGGGAATTCACAAATTACAAAATTTTAATGACATGCTCTCAAAATTTACATAAACAACATAGGAAATTGTGGTTATGAATTTTATCATTAGTTTCGACCTATGACCATAATTATGTTAAATAGAAGACAATTACACCTCAGTATATCTAAAAAGAATAAACACACACAAACAGTTACAATTCAATTTATACAGGATGTTTCGTAATAAGGTACCATATATTATACAGGGTGTTTCGAAATTCTCAAACACAGAGTGGGAGAAAAACTGAATAGAAAACCTTATTACACTTTTCGATCAGACAAGATACAAGAACGCATTTTTCTATTACTACATGAAATAACACCTGAGAATAATGCTCTTCAGCAGTTCAGCAAGTGCAGAAGGATGTTTAGCAGCAGGTGGTGAACATTTCGAACAGTTTTTATAGTTAAAATTTATTATCATTAATCAATTAATTAATATTAAAGTCTGCTTCATCATCGATAACTGGAAAAGCAATTGTCTGATTGAAAAAGTGTAATATGGTTTTCTACTCAGTGGTTGCTCTAAATTAACCTCCCACTCTCCGTGTCCGCGAATTTCGAAACACCCTGTATATTCTAGAGGTAGTAGGATTTTAATAAATGAGATTTTTAATTTGAATTTTGGATCCACTGTCTTTTGATTTTTAGATACAGAATGTTATATTTATTTTTTTTAACATGAATTTTGCCTATTTTACAAAAAAATGTTTTAGGTAGAAACTCGTAACATATTGATGTTAGGATTTTGAGGTTATGTAATTTTTGATTATACTCAAAAAATGTACTTTGGTTGACATTCGCATTTGATTTTACTATTTTAAACAATATTTTTTTATTAAATACACAAGAATTTGAAAAAAAAAAGAAAAACAAAACTTGCACATTTACCTCCACTTTTTGTTCTTTCTAAACTTCAAGATTTTAACCTCAAAAAGTTTTGATCTAAAATATTCTGATTTTGCAGCATAACAAACATTCTGTGTAATTCATTTAATAATTATTCATACCAGGCTATTTATGGACTGTCATAACATATGCTCACTAAGATGTCAATATGATATGTCAATCATTTATTTATAAATTTGTTTTAATAAAATTAACTTAATGCTCTGAATCTTGAAAACAAATGACGAAATCTCTTTTTCAATATTCTATTACCCATACAATTTATGGTATGTTAATCTGAAACCACTTATACACATACAGTGTGTTACACTTTGAGTAGCACCACCATCATATTTTGGAACACATGGGTCGATGTTCAAATTTTTTTTCAGCATGGGGTACTTGATGAGGTATTACCATATGTAATTTTTGTTTACCCTGTTATTATGGCCTACTATATTCAAAACTTTGCTAACAATTGGAAAATCTTACTAAGCATTGAAAAAACCTGATAACTTGATTGAATTGTCCGTATTTCCATTTGCCGATACCAAATTTTCATTTTAATGAAAGTGCAAGGTGTGCTTTAGTAAATATAATTTTTAAAGTGCATCGAAAATATTTAATCAGTATCAAATAGGCATCCAGTATTTTTTTGTATTTGTAAGGCATTGTTAATGTAATGCCAAAGATTATATAGCACCAGAGTTTTCCATTTTTTTTACTAAAAGAAATACTCTGTATGAATTATCAAACTGAAATTTTTGGTATTAGCAAATACAGCTATGAACAATTCAATTAAAAAAAATTTCTTCATGCAATTTTCCAATTTTTGGCAACATTTTTTGGGGCTACAAAATTTATTATAACAAGTTACGTATGATGACGTCGATTTCATTTTGTTTTTAATCCACCCATCTGTTCAAAAAAAATGAGGGCAGTTTTACTCAAATTGGAACACATTGCCGTTGCGATTACACGTACACACATATTATACTCTGCTGCTTGCGGGAAATGGTAAAGCTATCACTTTATGAGAGAATACTTGGCAGAGTAGGTTGTTTCTTTCAGTACCAGCTGACGGAGTGAAGGGGAAAACTTGGGGTCCGAGCACGTGCCATCAGCGTGAAAGGGGCCAGATTACCATGCTCAGGCCTAACCCGAACAGAGGCGCGATGTGGTCGAAAAGCGCCCCGAACTTGGACAAAACGAGGACGGTGCAGAGCCGGCCAGCGCACGAAATAGGTAACACATCCCCTACAGATAGTAACAAATCTGGGCTACAGCTATTGATAAACAAAGTATCCGCTTTAACACCCCTCTCTGAATGGAAAAGGTTTGGAAGTACCCCGCGTAACAATAGTTTCCCTACAAATAATGCTTCTCTAATACCAAAATCTGGGCTGGGGAAAAATAATCGACTAAGTAGATCTATCGGGAACATATCCCAGTCGCATTATGATACTGTGTTTAGCACTGATAGTTTTGTTATAGCTAGGGGCGTCAGCAATTCCGTTGACTTCGGGAGTGATTATATAAAGGTTAATGAAAATGATGGTGATACACAACATTTATTGAACGATACCAACACCACTATCTAAATATAACACTGATATTTAAACAGACCAATTCGCGATCTTACGTGAAATTTATTCGTTCCGAAACAGTGGAACTGAAAATATAAAATCATTTTTCAAAAATATTAGACAATATAATGCTGAAAAATGTTCAATTAATAAATTCATTTCTTTTTTTTAGAAAATTGGAATCAACAAATTTTAAAGGAGCCTCTATAATTTCATTGTTTCTTTAAATCTTATATGACAAAAAAAAATGAGCACTTACAACATACTTACATAAACAATTTGAAAAAATGATAGTGTATATTAAGTTCTACAGATGAAATACAATTTTTAGTGGCACCCTCTTTAGCAGCGTTTTTATTTCGTCCTGTTGTAGTGGCCATTGGTGGATTTTTTAAACAAAAAAAAGATTTCCTAATTAAAAATTTGAGACTTCTAAGAGGGTTTAAACATTTAGAATTTTGACTTTTCATTCAGTCTTTCTAGTATTAATTTTTTTATTGGTTACAGATCGTAAGTAGTAGTAATTTAATTTATTCAATAACCAAATTATATAACATAGAATAGGACCAAAAAAATAACAAATGAACAAAAAAACCATTGGCTAGTGACTAGATAGCGTAAATTAATTTTTTAAGTAATAAAGTATGCCATCATTTTTAACTAAATTTTAAGTTTTCGTATATATATAAATACTTTTAGTACTTTTTCGATAATTTATTTATGTCCAAAAAAATACTACGCGAAATTAAGCGGAAACGTTTTAATGTAATACTTTTTCCACAATACCTGTATAATGCAAAAATTGATATGGTTACATTCCATTTGAAATTTTGTACTTTTGTATTGTTTTTTTTATGAAATCAACTTTTGCATTGCTTGTGGTACTAGTTTTTCAAATATTTAATTCAAAATTTTTAACCAAGGCGTGTCTCAGGAGAGCCTGCCGAATATAATATGTAAGTCCTATATAAATCCCCCGATAGTTAAGTTTTTTTTTAGTTTTAAGCACAGTAGCATGTTTTAGAAATTCCATAAAAATTGTTTTATTTAGCTTAATTTCTTAAGTAGTGTTTGATTTATGTAATTTAGTTAGGTAAATTAGATTTTTATTGCTATTTTATTTTATGTAGCGCTTCATGAATACGTTTCACTTTTTATTATTTTACTTCATTTTTTTTTGTGTCCTTTATGTGTCGTGAAACATATTCAGAGCCGTTTTCTTTCATTTGGTGATGGTCTATTTTTAATGTAATTTGATTTTCAATAAACATTGCTAAAATGTTTTTTAATTACTGTTATTTTATTTTTCACACGCATGTCCTTTTTTGGGATTTCCGCACATATTGTCTTTAATAAAAGCTCTTAACCGCTGGATAAAATGCTTCGAATGGTCTGTCGTAGAAGTAATCGCCCCCTTTTTAGATGTAGCATTTTGTCCAAGTGTAAACTGCCAAAGATACAGGGTGGTCCATCTGGTCCAAATGATTTTTCTCAAAAAAAAATAAAAACATTATTCTCAAATAACTTTAAACACTTTCTGATGACTTATTATGTAGGATTTAACTTGATAAAAAACTAAAAAATTTATATATTTATTTCGTTCAAATTTTATAAAAATCGTATTCGGAACACCTTGTGCAGTGGTTAGTACATTTTTCAAAACGGCGTTTTGAAAAACTGAGTTTGTGTTATTAAAACGAAATTTAGTTGGACTGTAAAGACGATTTCAGTGTTCCCTGCCATGTTTTTTCGTTCTTTACAGTTTAACTTGCGGTTACGTTAGGATATACGTAACCCAAACTGATTAACCTACTTGTTTTCTGTGTAACAGACTAAAAAATTTTACTACTTAACAACAATTAACAAACAGAAACTGGAAAAGCCTTGTAGTCCTTTTGCTTTTGTCGTAACTCCTTTTTTTATTTTGCAATTTTGTGTAGTAGCTGAAGTGTTATGATTAATATAAACAGACGCTAGATAGTTTATTTGCGTTAACAGATTATGCGCCGCCAGAAGATTGGGGTCCCGAGTATCCTATTCCAGGAGCGATTCGACATAATGTGCCAATACCTACTTTGTACAGTGCAGACGGTAAGTTAAAAGATACCAACATATGTTTAATATATTTTCCAAGAAATTGTGTAACAAAATACTGCTTTTCATATTAATTGTTATAGAGACAATGCAATTTAAAAAATACTTGTGTAGGACTCGAATAATAACATTAACAAATGATGCTTAAAATATATTTCTGCAGAAATGGGAACGTAAATTATTTGAGAAAAAGAATTCGTGAAAAACATTCAAAGAAAATCATAATAGTTATTTATGTACAGATGTCAAAGTTTTCAATTTTTGTAGTTTGTTCGTGACAAGACCATAAAGATGCAGGTTTTGCTGAGATGCTTGTTAAATTTTTCCATTGATCTTAATAATACCTTTACTTTGTTAATTCAAATCTTTGTTTTGGAGTCATTATTTGAATGTCATTTTATTTTACGTACGCAAATACTTCACAGACACTATTACTTCACATTCGCTTTTACTTCACAACTACTGATTATATCTAATCAAGTGAGTCTGTGAAACATTTGCGTACCTATGTCAATAGAAATGGTTATTTATGTAACGAGATCAAAAAGTTGCATTTAATCTGGACCGACAAGCCAATGATGCCACAAAAATGCAAATTTTGCAGGGATACATACAGTGCGTCCCAGAAGTATCGCAAAAAATTCGTATTTGATTTTGTGTTTCGTTTTCACAAAAACGCTAAAACACGTCAGTTAGTAAATAGGAATTGTTCTTTTGTCACGTTGCTTAAACCTTCTTTGCGCTATGTTTCATAAACCTATCGACATTTATTTTTAAATAGCCCTACCTTATTTTTTATGCGTAAATGGATAGCCCTTTTGAAGGGAAATCAGTCGATATAGAGTTTGGCCTACTTTACTTTGACAGGTGCAAAAAAAAGCCAACAATTGGAATGTACATGGTCTAAAATAACAATAAAAGTAGGTATCACAAACTGATGCGAGAACAGTGTCACAGCAAAAAAATGTGTTGTGGTTGATTGTAGGTATATGTTTTTATGTAGATTGGGTAGGTTCACCCGATCACAGCGGCTAGGCATTGTTTTGAAGACGACAGTTAGCGAATGCAATAGTCATATCATTGTGATAGTTACAAATGCCATAACTTTACATTACGATGGTGTTGCGTTTAAGTGAGAAACAAAGAATTGAAATCCTAATTATGGTTGGTACGGAGATAGGATACGTAGTTATGATGAAATATGCCAAGTATCCGGAACAACCAATACTTCCGTCTACAGTATGCAGATTAGTACACAAATTTGAAAACTTTGGACATGTTAGAGATCTGTCTAAATCCAGAAGGCCAACGACAGTGACGGAAAATGATAGGCAAAATGTTATATTTAGCTGTCACTGTAAATCCACACACTGCGGTTTGTCCTATCGCCGAAAACGCCTACATATCATTACATAAAAAGATACCTACAATCAACCAAAACACAAAACATCTACAAATTCTCATTTTCTGCTGCGGCACTGTTCTCGCATCAGTTTGTGATACCTACTTTTGTTGTTATTTTAAACCATATCCATTCCAATCGTTGACTTTTTTTTCAACAAACCAATTCCCCTCAAAAAGGCCAACCAATTAAGCCTAAAAAAGAAGGTAATACTACTTAAAAAAAATGTCGATAATGTCGTAGGTTTATGAAACATAGCGGAAAAAAGGTTTAAGCAACGTGACAAAACGACAATTCCTATTTACTAATTGACGTGTTTTAAAACAAAATAAAAAACGAATTTTTTGCGTTACTTCTGAGAGGCACTATATAAAATTTTTCCATCGTCCGTAATAATTTAGCTTCACTTTGTAAATCAATATTAAACTCTAGACTATCTCGATGTTTATTAAATGAACCAGCAATAAGGCCAATTTTAATTAACACGTGTACTTTGCAGGACAGAGACTGAAACCAAAGTTCAGCATAGTGGAATTAGTTTTGTATAATATAGCAGCTATGCTAGCAGGTGTAGCATCAGGATACGATGTTCGATTATCAAATGTATCGCCGTTACATCCCAGACTTCAACCAAATAGGTAAATATTAATATCAGTTCAGTGATTAAGTGCCTTAACTTCGCTCACTAGGAAATGTATATTTTAAAATTAATTTATCTAATTTCTACATGTTGTTGCAGGCTAGAAATAACTGAACTACCTGCCTGGAGGCCCGTAGAAAACCAAGATTACGAATATTCCACAACTTCAGGCTACAACCACAATACCTACCACGGTCCCACCAAACATTATCGTCCTATGTTGACAGGATCGCAATTAATAAATGTACAGTACGAGGAGAAGAGGCCGTTAAGGTTCACAGATTCACCGCAGCACCACCCACCCAACCCATCACCTAGAAGGAAGTCCAGCTCAACTAGTAATGACGGATCCGAATTATACACCCCGTATGAACGAAGTGCAACGATTTACATCCCCGGTGACTACCAACCTTGCCAGAGTGAAACGGGACATTGTCTAGGTTGTTGCGTGCGACCTGAGCCTAGTAGTTATGCTTACAATCAATATCACGACGTCGGCTACGCGGGGTACAGCTCAGAATACAGCGGTTCAACGACGATGTATGGTTATGGGACTGATTATGCATACGATAATCCAAGTAGTATTAGTAGCCATAGTGGTTCTAGGACTCCACAAAGGTTACCCGCTCACACCCACAGGCGAACACCTTCCAATGTTTCAAACGCTAGTTCAACTACCACGAGTGGGTCGAATGTAAATCCAAGTTTCCGACTAGAAGATGAATACACACCCACGCACTATTTACCTAGGAGACCTCAGTACGACTATGATTATAACACGAGTTCTTACTCCCGACAGAATTCGCAGGATTCTAATTTCGAAAGGCCCACAACTTTGGAAACGTCCGGTTATACGAAACTACGTTCTAGCTTGAAACGGAATAATTACCAAGCCACGCAAGGGCACTCCGGAGGGAACACCCCCACGAACCCCACACCTCCCGACAGTTTGACGAGCGACGACAGCTCGTACGTTTCGGCAAAAGACAGCAATAGCAGCGTAAGTAGAGTTAGATTCTCACCCACCACTCTTATTGACCTACCTGTACCTGGGCAGCATCAAGATCCCACCATTCCTATGCAAGCGAGAAGGACAAGGCAGAGGCCGTCCCTCGCTGAAATGGAAAAGGAGTTCTTATCATAACCTTATTTGTATTATATTAGTTGCAATGTGGCTTTTGTAATATTTTATATGTAAAGTCTGGAGTTTTAAATATCTGTGTAAACTGAAAAGCAATATTTTATGTTATACCTTGCAGTACAAAAGGTAAAACGATTTATGAGGTAAACTTTTGAAAGATATATAGCCGAGTTATTGTTTTTCATTAGTGATAGCATGATTAGTTTGTTAAAAATTGATATGTAATTGATCGAAGAATGTGACCGGTCATTTTTGGTCATTTTTAAATTTCAAAAGTTATGTTTCCATTGAATTGGTCTTGTAAACTATAGAGCGTTCAAAAATGATTAAAAGCCACGCGAGACCGAGCTTATGCAACCAACATTGCACGATTGGTACTGTCAATGGAATTGGAATTAACGATTCATTCATTCATTCAACCGTTACGGCTCAAGATAACGCAATCACAGCCGGTGAAACTGAATGTTGGATTTTGTTATAATTTTGATCTTATTGCTTTAAGGGGTTACACCACTGTAATGGCCTAAAAACGTGTTTTTGACAATTTTTTTTTAATAGAACGAAAGGTAATAGAAAAAATTATTTAAGTATGTTATTAGGCATGTATTAAGTGTACAGAACAATTTTTTCTTTAAAAATTATTTCAAAATGGCGGCACTGGAGCCATTCTCCTTAAGCATGTCGCAGTCGAGGCGTTCCACGGCACGCACTGGAACTGGTGTTTTTTCAAGGTTTTGACGAAAAAAGGGCAGTTATTTGTTTATAACAATAATTGTTTAAATAACTTATCGAAAAATCTGTGTGTTTCCCTTCAAAATGTTGTTTTAAATATGTGGTTAAAATTTCAAAAGAAAATATTTAAAATTGTTGGAGTTATGATGCGTGCTTTCAAGTCGAGACAAATGTGTAAGTTTTAAAATAAGTTTTATACATGAACGTGCACTGATGCTACACTAACGTACTTTTGTTTCAAAATTTTGTTTGAATTGTACATGCATACTCCCTAACGACATCTATGAGTATATTAGAGAAGTTATAAATCAATAGGTAAGAAGGTATGCGGTACCTTCTGAGCGAGTATGTTCATAGCACAGGTAGCCGAATGAGAGATGCCCGACATACGCCAGGAAAAGCACAAAATTAAAAAAAAAAATTTTTTCGTGTATAAAACCTTTTACCTCGTTCTAGAAGGTTCAAACTGCCTTTTAAGCAAAAAAAAACGATTTTTCTAAAATTCTACAGTGGTGTAACCCCTTAATTTTACCGAAATTTAAATTACTTGTAATCATTTATGAAAGTTCTGTACAATGATACCAAATATGTTGCTTTTAAGTAAACAAAACATAAAACTAAAGTATAAATAATAACTAGCCAAAGACTATAAAAAATCTTAGATCCAGAAAAACATTGCTGACAAACAATTTTCTTCCCATATAGGTCATCCAAAACTTTTTGAACAGGATACATGAGGAATGACATTACACGTACCTAACAAAATGAAGGGTTATTTAAAAATCGGCAAGTGATTAAGGAAAGTGACCAATTTTGATCATTTTGTTTTTCGTTTCTAAACAGTTTTTGTACTTTTATTGGATTTTGCTTCCATTTTAATACGAGTAAATGCAAACTAACAACACTAAATTATATAGTGACCCAAAATTTGGCCCGTTTCGGCGACCTCACAAATTCGATTGGAAAGTGGTCTAAATAATAGCTTGTGCTGATATTTTAGAGTAGGCAAAATTTTAAGTTGAGCATAGTTGTTGTTTTAGATATATGACAAGTAGGGTTGCCAGATTTCCTGGCTCCGGGTTAACATGTCATTTCTCCGGGTTTTCTTTGTTACGGAAAAAAACATTTCCTGATTCCTGAACTTTATAGATATTTCCTGATTGCATCCTTTTTTTTAGACATCGATTTCTTCGAAAACAACAATTTGTCTCCCTGATTGCATTTGCAAATGCAATTATTTTTTACAAAAATCTTTTATAACTTTTTTGTTACAATATTTTTAGTAAAATGTAATGAAAGATTTGAAATGAACGGAAAATTTTACGTTATAAATGTTACTGCTTGTATTTGTTGAGAATTTTAAGATATTGCAAGAGGTCACCGAGAATGTCGGATTCGCCTTGGCGTGGATTAATCAAATAACGAGTTCAATTTGCCATATCCTAAAAATTGAATGTATGCTCAACCTAAAATTTCACTTACATTAAACTGTCACTATAAGTTATCATTTAGACCACTTTTGAATTGAATTCTTGAGGTCGACGAAACGGGCGAAAAAATTATACTATTAAAGTAAATTATTTATTTTATTTATATTTATTTTATTTAAATGATAGTAACTGGTGATTTTAAATATTTGATGGTCATTTTTTATTGTGACCTATCGTTTATAGTTACTGACTTTAGTCATAGTTTGATACGTAGGTGCCGTCGCTACAGATAATACAGTGTATAGTTGACTCGTATCTCTTCACTGTCCTGTTCAAAATTTCTTTGTTCTCTTGTATAATTTATCGTCTTCAGTATTCAAAACACATATTTTGCAATTAATAACAAAAAACTTTGGTCATTTTAAATATTTGCCATTTTCAAATGTGATTGGTCACTGATTTTGATAATTAATTTTCTCTTGAACTTGAATATGTAGCACCGATATTATATCGTTTTCTGTAATTTATACACCTTCACAATCTCATAGTACAGGATTCAATTATATGACAGAAAAAAAGTTTACCCTAATACTTACTCAGTTTTTTCAGTGCCATCTAATAAAAAAAAAATAATGTAACACTCCCATTCCAGAATAAGATCATAAAGAAAATATTTTTTTCTTAAACCTCCATTTTTACTAGTCATTGTTGTAATAAATTGTCGATTATTGGTTGAGGTATAATTAGTGTATAATTTTATAGGAATAATGAAAGCTTATTACAAAGTTTTGACTGTTAAGGGATTTCTCATACCTTTGGAGAGCAAGGCCGAAGTAATCAAGAAGCCGCCTGCACAATTTTTTGGGAAAAATATAATAAAAAATGTATGAAAAATAAAAAACTCGCATAATTGTCCAAAATTGACCAAAAATTAATTATCTGATCTCAAAGTGTCAAGGCTTGGTTTTCGCTATTCAGTTTCTTTTTTTCTTCAGAAATATAACGTGATGTTTTACCTACTTTCTCTCTTTCTCTTGGGGAAATATAGGAATCTCTAAATTGTTGATATCGATCCACCCTGTACAGTTAAATCAGAAGTATCAAAGAACATGGTAATATATGTTTTATAACTATTAACTTAAGATTGTTAAACTTACTATTTTTAGTAGTCCTTTTGAATCAGGACTATACTTCCTTATATCATTCCTTGCATTAGAAGAAAATTGTATTAAAAAAAGGTAACTGAGTAAGTATCAAGTTTTACATTTTGTAACTTTAGTGGATAAATATATGGTCATTGATGAATGTAAGACATATCCAAACGTTTCCCCCTTTCAGTAGATTATCGTGTAGGCTTTCAAGATGAGGTTTTGATGAGTTTGGTGACCTTACAATCATTTATGCTCATGCTGACTTATTCGTCGACGATATTTGAATATTTAATCGTTACTAGTCTAATTTTATTATGTAAGATATTAACTCTAAATTAGATTTTAAATTCGGTATTTATTTTTTAATTTCGAAATTAATCTGTCGTGGGGGAGATTACAAGAAAAGCGAGCTCTTTAACAAAGGTATTTACTAGTCTAGTATTATCAGGCCGAAAAAATTATTTAAACTAATTAATTATAAATTGCTGTGTTTACTTGTATTTTTTATGTGTAGGCACACTCAGTCCCTTTGTTAAAGTTGTAATTTCTCACATTAGAGGATTCTGCTCAAGCCTTTATTAAAATTGTTAAACGTTAAGTCCTTGTTTGTATCCTAGCAACTGAATTGTAAATTATACAATCCATAGTGCCTGTGCAGCTTGTGTACAAGTGATATTATAACCTTATAGTCATTTATGTGCAATTTTTTATGCATGGTTTTATATGGCTCACAATTTTTGTGCCGGAGATTTTTTTTTTATTTGAAATTTAATCAACTCTAAATGGAAACATTATTTAAAATACATTCTATTTGCAAATATGAGGGAAAATCTTTCTGGTGATTATTTTTTTTTAATATAATAATTTTGTTGTCTTCAGCACTCAAAAAAAATGATTTATTCGCAAGAATGCATCAGAAATGAAGACTGTCCTTAACATTCCATGATTTTACACTTTTTGCACATCAAAAATGCCGTACTATTTTAATTATTTTTAATCTGACCAAGTTTTATAAATTATTTATAAAGTAACACCCCGTTCATTACTAAATGTACTTAAATTTTAATAATAATTTGTGTTGGAGTATTAAAAATCACATGTACTTTGAATTTTAATAAAAAAATTCTCTGTTAAAACGGAGAGTAATATATTTTATAATATTGTGGCCATTATGTAATATTAAATAACCGGAAAGGTTCAGTATTTGAATATATATTGTAAATATCTTATATATACAAACTCTAGTTGTAGTTAACACTTCTGTGGCTTCCACAATTGATTATATATCAAGTTAGATTTATTTATTAAAACATTGTATTATACATTCCAAGATATCTTTATCACAAGAAAATTTACTTAATACTCATATTGTGTGAATGATGTAACAGTCAATAGAGTTTTTAAAAATGTCCTGTTGTTTTATTTTGACGATTTTCAGTGTTTGGGATAACTGGTATTTTATTGTCAGTTGAGCTAATCAGAAAATATTTTTAAAAATTTGTCGAACGAGGCCGAACATTAAAAAATATGGACATATTTCCTTTGGTGGACAAATCTCTCTAACTCTTCCAGATTTCGAGATTTTCCATTTTTTTCCTAAACAGAGGCATTCACACAAAAACCGACCATCCCCGTGTGTTCAGCGAGTTCGGTACCACCTTTAAACAAGCACTTTAATTATTTGCCAACTTTCATGAACTGATTTTCTCAAAAAGTTTTAGGGCTCAGAAATACCTGAAAAAAATCTGGTGGACTATAACAGCGCTGACAAATCCAAAACCGCAGTTTCTAGTTCCTCCAATTTTCGAGATATTCAAAATTTTTCCTTAACGGAGCCATTTGCACAAAAACCGACCATCACAGGGTTTTTAACGACCTCAGGTGCATAAGGAACCACCGTTAGAAACTTTTTTGAAAATTTTCGTGCCATTGGAAATGCATCATCCCAATTAAATTTTCGATCAGTGAAGTAGAACCCTAGATAAATGATACTGTAGATAGGAAACTTGAACAAATTTCGTGGTCAGTAAGAGCGCTAACTGTTGACACTTTCTCCAACTTCTATTGCTTTCCTTTTCTAGGAGTTATCGGTAATACAGCGAGTTAAATTACCTGTAGGTTAAAGATGCAAGCGCCATCTAGTTGTACGCTCTACAACTATATACCTATCCAATATTTATTTTAGGTATTCTGCCGCCGCTAAATTTAAAATTACATAACAAATCTCACCCTACACAGATCACTCAGAAATTGGTTTTGTAAAATAATTTTCACGTAGATAATTTTTGTCACCATGAGAAAATAAGTACATTTTATAAAAAGCATTAAAATCACTCAAGCATTAAAGACACTTTTAAAAGCTCTAATAGCCTTTCTACTTAAAATTAGAAATAATTTTGATACTAATTTTGTTGAAATGGTTATTGAAAAAATTTCAAATTTCAGTTCACATTTTGAAAAAAAAAGAGTAGAAATGATTATAGAGCAGCTTTCAGTGCTTTCTATATTTTATTAGCCTTCACGTTGAATAAAAAAATATTACAAGTAAATAATTTTACTAAACCAATCTGAATAATTCTTGTAATAGAGATTTATTATGCAACTTTAAATTTTTCGTTGTGTTGATATCCATAAAAAAAATACCTACCTCTGATCACGACAAACTTTCAGACATTTTTTATTAAAACAAACAAAAAAACTAAACATTTTATTATTAATAAAAAAATGTGATTATATGATCAGACATTATTATGTTATACAGTGAATGAAATGTCTAATAAAACACACTAAAAACACACCAACACTCGCCAAACTTAACCAACAATAAACATGAACAACATAAATTACATGAAATGATTCATTGAGTGGAACGCTCACTTGTGTCGATTGATCAATCAGGGTTCATTAAAATTTTCATGCCGCCTTCTATCGCTCAGAAACTACACTAAACTGCGGAGGAATGCTTTAGGAGGTAGCCAACTGTAACAGTTTCACTTTACTGGTATATTAAATAAACGTTTAATGTATAGATGGCACTGCATACGTTCCCATTGATATTAAATATTTTATCTGCTCCCACTATACAGGGTCGGAAAGTCCCCATGGTAAGTGAGATAACTTACCTCCCTACGGAAAAAACCGATTTCGGGTTATAAACGAACAAATAAATATTTAGTAATTATACAGTTATTACATTTAGTAACATTTATAAAATTTGTATAATTATTCCTCACGCATTTATTAATTGTCACATTTTCCTCAAAATGATTTGATTGCTCCATTTCAGTCATTGGAGGCTCAATATTATCTGACTGATCCATTAAAACGGCATGATGCGACGTACTACTAGAACCTGGAATTGAAGTGTCATTGTAAAGAATCCAGTTGGCTATTTCAGTTTTGTTACTTAAACCACCCACCATGTCTCTTGATTGCTAATACATCAACTCCTGTATTAGCCAGTAATATTACCGATGTTCTTCGGAATGAATTACCTGTATATGTTTCAGGATGTACTAGTTTCAAAAACTGTGCAATCTTATTAAACCTTTCACTGCTCCAGATGTAAATATTCGCTAAAAATTTATAGGGCTCAAACTGCTCCAGACGGATAAATTCGCATGAATAGTTAAATTGGATCAGGCTGCTCAAACCGTATATATTCGCAACCGTGCGCATAGTGACTCGGTTATTGCAATTGGTAAGGCGAATTTTTGCGGGCGAGCTTATACCGATTGTGACAAATATTTTTATGGAAAGAGGTACTGGTAATACTACCAAGATTGTTAATGTTTCTTTCAGTTTCTATTTAGTACATATACTGTATTTTATTCAAAATAAAATCGTAAAATTTATCGTAAATCGTAATTTAACACAACGTAATGTAAAACTATAAGTGGTCTAACTGCTCCAGATGTATATATTCGCACAAGATAAACAATCACGCACGGCACGGTAGCTACGTTCAGACGTATTGCGCAGCGAAAGGGTTAAGAATCATAGAAAGGGTATTCTTGCCGACTGGTTGGTTGTAACTTCTACCTGCTTGATAGCGCATAAAAAAGTGTGAAATTTCAATTTTAATTTCTAATCTAATCTTGATATATTTCTTGAGAATTTCTAGGTGAGAAACAGAACCCAGACGAGTAGTAATTGCAAACGTACGCGACATACCATTTTTAGAATCTCGAATTGTAACTACAATATCATCAAAATTTTTGAAGTTGAAGTCCAAAGTAAGTTGGCATAACTCATCAGAATGGCATGCTTCTGCAATGCCTAAGACCGTCACTACCTTCATTAGCAAATATGTTATCGGGTGCCTGAACGAGAAAATCGTTGACTTGTTCTCTTTTAAAATCGTTTTTTAGGTGTATAGGCGTCATTCTTACATTTCAAAAATACTCTCAGTTTGGGGTATTTTGATATATCCACGTTCTCCTCTATGAAAATATGTAGTTGACTTAATCATTGAGTATTCACTCCACAAACTCACTATTTTTGTTCTGGCACCATTCTTTGAAATTTCTATATGCTCGTCCGTAGGCGCACTTTTGACTTCTTGCGCAATAAAAATTCGCAGGCAGGATTTGCTGCACTTTCTATTTGAAAATCACTCATTTAGAAATAATTCAAAACCAGCAAAATTGCAACTTTTATGTATCTTTGTTTATAAACATCTTAGAAATGACAAAATACAAACAACTTTGTAAGATTTGTAAGATTTTGTAAGAGACTTTGTAAGATTTTGAAATAATGTCAAAATAAATTGATTAAGAAATGTCAAAAAATATAAACTAATCTTTATTTCATGAACGATAAAGAACTGTAGGAGCAAATAAAATGTTATATACCACGCAGCAGTTAAGTATAATTTACCGGTCTCGGACTCTATTGCCAGCCCTCGCTCCGCTCGGGCGCAAAATCATTCTCGACTGGTATTACTTACCTCCTTTATGGTGTACATAACTATTACATTAAATTAATAAAGATTTTTCTTCATACCGGAGTGTTCAGCGACCCCACTAGTGTATGGTACCGCTTTTAAATGAGCACTTTCTGAAAATTTTCATGGTCCATCCTGCTATACTCCTAAATATACTTACTTTTGGACTAATTCTCCTTATTAGAATTTTTTACTACCTTTATTATTTATTATTTACATTCAGCACAATCAATAAATGTGTTTTTGGTTCAAATAGACGAATTTTATTGCTTCCTAGTCGAGATGTAGCACGAAATCAGAGGGAATAAGGCACAAATATTGCTTAATTTTTTTATTAACCAAAATTTACAATGAAGATTATGTACCAAATTGATGCCGGTACATAATAATGATTATCTACAAACTCATGTAGTGAATATGATTAATTTTATAAGTCTAACTAATTTGCTGAGACTACACGCAAACAATATTGACTATTAATCACACGCTCAATTATGAACAACTGTAGCTAATCCTCGTGATTTGAAATCGGGAAAATTTTAGGGACGTCATGGTGCACGTTTCAATACCGACAAAAATTATATAAAAATCCACGGTAATTAAAAAACAAGACGATATCGAGAGTTAACGGAAAACGCACCATAATCGTAAGAGATTCTGCCTTTGACAAATATGAAGCTGTTCTACGGTATAGTGTCAGCAAAATTAGCATATTTTGGATAAATCCACTAGTAACACTCAAGTAGAAAACCCAACAATACAAACAGCTTTTTAAAAAGTCTTATCACCGTATTCACTCTTCTTAATCATTAAAATTAAAGGACTAATATGTAATTTCTTATATAAAATTTGAATATCTTAGATGTTAAACGAACGCGCCAAGTATACAAACAAAACGATCTGTCATCCTAACACGAAAACCTCAAGTCAATTGTAGGCATTTACAAGTCAGATATTTATTTAAAAAGTTACAATCGCCATAATAATGTTACTTGTAAATTGATATAATAATTTACAATTAATGTACAAATAAAAAAAAAGTAATGAGATATAAATAATTTGTAGACAATTTATTAAATTAAGTCCTGAGGTATACCAATATACCACCATAACTCAGTTATCAATTATATAAAAGAAAACGCTATTGGTTAATTGTCACACACTCACAGATAAGACACCTGTTGTTTCCCTGCGCGGTTGTTGGAGCGGTCTGCTATCCGTATCTAAACTGCCATCAGTTACTGTTGTAGTTATCCTGCTCTTGCGTCACGTGGTTAGTTTCGCTGGGGGACACCAATTCCGAGGGTGGTTTGAATGCCGCTGTGTATGGAAATCTCGAGTTACACTTCTTAACGAATTCTTCTAATTGAGCATCGCAACATCCAAAGTCGCCTTTTTTTAGCAAATTTAGTATCTCTGTACAAATCTGCAAAAAATATAACTATCTAAAGAAACATCATAATTATCCCATGTTCCAATTACCAACATACTAATTTATAAATATTAATACATGCGGGACAAAATTAACAGACCAACATACAAAATTTCAAAATTATATTTTAAAACGAAAACGATGTACCAGTGCAAGAGACGAACGTTTTCTTAGGCAATCTGCTATGAGGGTTTCTTTCGGTGTGCAGCAAAATGCAACGCTCTCTCAACGGTTAAAATAAAAATATTTTTATTGAAAACAAAGTTTGTCAGAAAAAAGTGTTGTACGTGCGAGCGTTTGCTGGAGAGTCTTCGTGTTGTGAAGTCGTTCGCAGGTATACGAGTAAGTATCTGGTCGTTGGCGCCAATCTGCCGTGGACCTTTCTTGGAACCATATCCCGTGTTGCACATTGTTTCTTGTCACTTGCAACAGGTAGGCCGGTCCGGGCGGCGTCAGGCTGGCGCTCTTGACATAATACTTAAAATGGGTCACTTGCAGACATGTGTACCCACAGCTTTAAGAACCAGTCAATCACTAGTTCGCGTTAAGGAATGACCTCGAAGCTATCCGAAATGTTTCAATTTCAGCTCGAGCAGTCAGAAGGCTAAAAGAAGCTGGACTGGCAAGTAGAAAACCAGCAATTGCACCACTGGTTACCAGACAGAATACCTTGTAAACAATTGGAAACGAGTTTTATTCACGGATGGAACTATAGTGAGGCTAAAATCTCCTGTCTCGCAGAGACCTGGAGAAAAATGTGCGCAATGCAATATCTCTCCAAAGTTTTTATTTGGTGGCGACTCTATGTTTTGGGTAGCAATTTTTTATAATGTTCGTACAGAGTTAGTCCCTACTCGACACAGATCTATGAATGCAAATTTCTATCTGGAGAAGAATGTAGTTGAACATGTAATTCCCTTTGGTCCTTTTTTGGGAGACAATTTTTTATTTATACAGGACAATGTTCGACCTCACATTGCTAGAGAATTACTGAATTACCTCAATGACGTTCATATACAGTTTATTGAGTGGCCATCAAAAAGTCCAGACATGAATCCGATAGAACATCTCTGGGACATGCTTAAAAGGAACATAAAACGTCATATACCTGCATTCCAAAGGGCGTCATTCAAAATTTCATTAGAAACATGCCTAGGCGTATCAATTAAATAATATTAATTAATTATTAATAATTATATGATTAAAAAGTAGAGGAGGCAAAACACGCTATTAATATTCCAATACTACCATCCATTGTGTTCTGTTACCATTTAATTGTTATTCACTTTTCCCACATAATTTTAATGATTGTTAATTTTATTACAATTAAATTGTAAAATTGGCATTTTTCGTATAATACCGTTAAACTAATTAAATAATGCAATTTTTGTGGTGAGTTAATTTTGTCCAGGAGTATGTTTATTGATAATACAATATACAACAAAATGCTTACGAAAATCATAAATGTAAAAATACAAACACCACAGACACACATCACATCACATACATACAAACAAGTGTAATATATTATATTATTAATAAGAAATTCGTTAAATTGCTCATAAAATGTAATTTTAACAGTTTTTCAAAGTTATCCTACAAGTTTAAGTAGTCAATATTCAAATTTCAAACAAAATTATGAATATTCTAATTAGACTGAATCTAATTCCAAGTCAGGATTCTGAAAAATAACCATAACCATGTATTTCCTTGTCTTGATGATAGGACGCAAAACAGCTGGATCGTTCGTCGGTTGTCTCACCTATGGCACACTGATGAGGACTAATAAGTCCGAAACAGGTCTCTGTCTGGTGGGTTAAACTGGCGAACGATCCTAGCTGTTGCACTAGGTGTTGCGGGTATAATTCAATGCCGGTAGAGACATATAGTCCTCGGAGTAGTTGTTTCTCGCAACACTGACAAATTAAAACATTGTCTTCGCCCTCTGTGGGTGGCAGTCGTGCAACAAGTACCTGCAATATAGCAGCAGATGGAGCCATTTGCGCTCCCGCGTACAATAGTTTTATGTTTGTTATTCTGGTTGTGTTATGAATTACACCGTAAACTACCCATTTAGTAGTTATGAAGGAAATAATAATCATAAAAACATTTAATTCAAATAAGCCGTAAACCCCCCGAAATATGTACTTACTTCAATATTTACATCTTGGTATTTATTGTTCAGACTGGTAACTAAACTGACTGCATGGCTCTGGCTCTTATTGTCGAGGTGGTACATCATCTTCGCCCCCTCAAACACGGCTCTTAAACTATTCGAATTGTTTTCCAAAAATTCCTTATTCAGTTCTTTAGCATCTTTCCCGTCGAAATAGATCTTAGTCTCCTGTGTGATCACTTCCTCCACGCTGGGATCCCAGTCGTCTTTCTGTTCTTGGATAATCCGGTGGAATCGTATTAGGCAGCTGTGAAGTTTAGGGTTTTTCGGATCGACTTTGTGGGCGCGTTTCAGAGACTGGAGCATGAGAAGGACTTTTTCTATAGAAAAAAGCAATACGTTTTAACTTTACCCATAAAGTTAAGTCTAGGCACTTACTTTTCCTGTAGTACACCTCAAAAGCCATCAGGTGTGTTTCTATTCGATCCTTAGCCAGAGTTTGTAAGGGTTGTAGAAATTTTATGGCCTGTTCAAGTGGATCATCCACCTACAAAATAAACAAGGACAAACTGATGGTAGGAACGCATTACAATGGCATCAAGAAACATGAGAAATAAAATGAACTTTTCTTCGAAACTCTTAAATACATAAATATATAAAAATTTAGAACGTGAATTTTTGTGCAATTGATCACTAATAGTCACAGTCCAACATAGTATAGTAATCAAATGTATGTAATGGTCTAATCCATTATTTGTGCATAAATATTTAATATTTGGGCGACAATGCATGTATCATAAAACAAAATTAATTGTCAAATATTCAGTGTCTCCATTTCGGCATCTCAAGTCAACACAAACTCCAACTCCACACTTGCACTGTTTGTGGATATACTTAAACGAAGGATATACCATTTCGAATAGATTTAAATTGCATAGATTTAAAACATATGAAGTAAGTACAGCCTTTACCCTTGCTAATTTGTCCGGAATAAGTTCGTCCAATTGGGGTGCATCTGCCTCGACGTCGCCTTGCTGACGCGACTTGTGATGTTGGTCTCTCTTCACCTGAGCTTCCCTCGCTTGAGCGCTCTCCTGCTCCGCCTTTCTCTTCGCTTTCCTCTGCTTGTTTCTTAATTTTTTCAGTTCGGAAGGCGCCAGATTTTCTGGAACGAACATTATTTTAATTACAAACGTGTATTTTCAATACTTTCCCTTCTATCATTAGCAATAATTATAAACAGGTTACACAACTAAATAGTTTCAAATTGCATTATGTTATCTCTAATAGACTCGGAGATGTCTAAAAAAAATCTTTTAGAATCTCATTTTTAAGGGGCTGTAGTCCCTTTACTTGTAGAGTGTGCTGATAGAATATTGTAGGCCAATTCGGGGACATCTTTTAGTGGGTATAAATGCTTGTCTTGAGAAGTCCGCGATAGAATGCGATACCATGCAATAACCTCTTGTTTTAGTTGAACAATTTCCGAGATGATTGAAACAATTACAACGTTTCTTCTGAAGGAGAGAGCGGTATATCTCTCGAAACAAAAAGTCTAAACCGATGACGTGGCAACCAACCCAGAAATTGTTCAACTATTGACAGTTGCCATGAAAGCATGTAGCAAATTATTGTTATGACTTGTCTTTATAGCTTTATAGCCGTAAACAAAACAGATCCACATCTACTCTTCTGCGATTATCACGGGGGTAAAGATCAATTGTTTCTATTTTCGATCACCTGTGCAACCGGTTCGTAGGCGACTTGAGGAACGCCACTGTAGCGCCACCCATTTCCCTTTCAACAGCAAATGCTAAAGTTTAATTTTATTAGGAATCGGAGCGTTCGCAATAACCACGGCGAAGTGCTCTAGGTGAGGGCCGGACTCGATCGATGAAAGCGCACTTTCGCCGCCAAGTTTTGAACTAGGTCGGATCGGAGATCGCATTACAAAGTGGCCATAAGATCTCTTTCCCACAACGTGAATAAAATCTATCCATCTATCCAACAGCAGCGATAAGTATTGAAATAATTGTGATTTATTACGCTACACCGATCTACTTTTCCATTGAAAACGTGCTACTATTTAACATTTCTTATTTTAATTGGGTATAATAGAAAAAAAAAACAGTATCTCCCAACCACAGGCGTGCGTAGGACAAAATTGTGGGACCGCTTTCATCAAAATTGCTCAAAAGTGTCACCCCGTATGTATATTCACAGCATAATTGCAATTCACATCCTTCAACATTGTATTGAATTTAGAGTCTGTAAAGCATGTAATACTGAAGTTATATTTATTTGAATCCAGCTGTTATTATCAAGGAAAGCAAGGAAGTCCTGGTCACTGAACCCTAATATTTACTTCGATTAACCAATCTCCACTTTCGTCGAACGCAAATTAATTTTTAACTAATTAATTGCTAAACGAGCTCGGATTATGTCAATTTAATAGTTATTAGTGTGCAGGTGTAATTAAATCGATGATTTTTTTCTCTCCAGCTAGGAATGAGTACGGCTCCGTAGGTGCGGTTTCTTAATATCGCTCTGCCATTGTAGACCGTTTATGTTCAAGGATGAATACATAATTCATAGTAAACAGCACCGGAAAATAAAAATATCTTTGGGTAGTTAGTCACCTTTATGCGATTTAATGTGGAGCAATGCGTTGTAATTGCTGGTTAGTTTTTAATTTGTACCTTTTTTGTCTTAATAGGAATTTACATAATCACATTTTCGGGTTGTTTAAACAAATACAATTAAAACCGCTTCGACCTCTAATATGGGTAATGTAATTAGGATCAATAACAATCACTATTGCGACACTAAAAGTGGTTTATTTATTGTTGTTTAATTGTACACACCTAATACTGAGGTGATTATTTCAAAATAGAAGCGTAAAAAAGTGTTTGACTTTTTTTTGTCTGATCGGGGCAAAAAAGGGGTCGTTTCCGAAGTTTTGAAAGTCTCTAAGTGACAGAGTTGATTGTGACTGGCAATGTGATAATTAATTTACTCTAATACAGGGTGCAGCAGCGACAAACTGTCAAGACTGATTCATCTAATCAAAATAAATAGAAAAGTTAGAGTAAAATTTTTGTTAAATTTAATAGTCAATTGTTTCAGAGCAGCGAGTGAACTGAAGGATTTACTTTATTTGTTAAATAGACCCAGAGAATATTTAAACCGGAAAAAAATAAAATTTGGGTGGAATAAACACCAATTTAAATTCGAAGTTACGAGAAAAAAATTGTTTTATATGGAATGGTTTTCCAACGTATTAGGTCTTTTAAAAAAAATACACTGATCGAATTTGCAAAATACTCAGTGGCGTAGGAATTCTAAAGATCATATATACATTTTTTTCTGTCAGTGACATATTAACAAATTTAGATAAATGTTACCTTTATAGTTTCATTCAGAGATACTTGCGTAAACTTTATTTTAACATAAAATCGAAATTAAAAGTGAAATCACCATATTATTAACAAATTTAGATAAATGTTACCTTTATAGTTTCATTCAGAGATACTCGCGTAAACTTTATTTTAACATAAAATCGGAATTAAAAGTGAAATCACCCTGTATAATTTGAAGTAGGTCGTTTCAGTAAAAAAATGTCCCTTCTCTTTCGTTAATATATAAAAAAGCATTAGAATACCTTGATCAGAGTATTTTTATTACATAATTAGATTTTTATCAGTGTTTATCTATAAGATTAGATTTTTATCAATAAATTGACAATATTTTCAATAAATATTTATACATAACAGAAATAAATAACAAAATATAAGTAAACTGCACGGTTTATACCATTTCATATTCTTTAATTATTTATAAGGTCAAATAATTTGTATTTGTATTAAAAATTACTAAAAAATTAATCAAATAAATCGTGAACAAATAGTAATTGTTTAGTTATGTTTACAAGACTTAAAAAGTGCAGAATAATATGAATAAACAATAAAATATATTATATTACCTACCCTTGTACAGGGTGTTTGTAAATAAGTGAGAAATATTTTAGAGGGTACTTGCCGAAGCTATTTTGTGAAAAAAGTCCAAATAAACATAAGACGAAATATGCTTCGTTTCCGAGATATGGAGTGTTTAAATTTTAATTTTTCATGTATTTTTATTAATTATTTCAGAGTTTTAAAGATATTAACTCGAAATTTGAAAAACGCTTTGGAGGGATATACGTGCATTTTTTGGGGTGATCCGAATATTTTTACTTGCACCGGTGCGAGAATGCCACAACTTTTTTTAATAAAAAAATGGTACGCCACTGACATTTTCCTATTTTGATGATTTTTTAGAAATCCGCCATCAATTCTGAACGAAATCGGTCTCTTCAATTTTTTTCGTAGGATGCACCGTTTTTGAGGAAAAAAATAAAACAGTTGTGTATTTTTAATTTTTATTGATACATTACCTAGTAGGTTGCTGTCAATATTTCTAAATAAAATACAAAAATCAAATTTCGAGTCAATATCTTTAAAACTCAGAAATAATTAATAAAAATAAATAAAAAATTAAAATTTAAACACTGTATCTCGGAAACGAAGCATATTTCGACCTACGTTTATATAAAACAAAAATCACAATATAACTTCGGCAACCACCCCCTAAAATATTTACAAACCCCTGTAGATCCTATGTCTAGACTTCATATAAAAAATAAATGATGAATTTCATCGACTTTATTTTGCTGCCAAAGCAAATGTTATACAAAGCATTTTAATATGTTGTAGTCTAATGCACAAAACAACCATTAAATACTGAAGTAATGTTCTTTATCATATAATAAATATTTGTAAAGGATAAACACCGTAATCTTTTTCTATTTATTTTTGCCTTGACATTTTTTTAATTTAGCGGCTACGAAATAAGCTGCTAATTTGATTCCAAGCGAAGAAAGTTCATTGGAATCGGAAATCATTTAGAATGTAAAGACTAAACGCTCGTGTGATAAACGACCGGCAAAAAAATAAACACATATCGCTCGTAATGTAGTTGCCCCGATTCTTCCTATTCCTTATTTTACAGACCATATACCTACATTTATCTCGACAATTAATGCATTATACAAGCCATGTCACGAAGACCGGATTGGCGATTTTATCTGAAACATTTTCAACTTCCTGTTACTGCGGTTTGGAGATGTAGACATTGAGTTTGTGATTAACGAAAAGTTCCTTACGAACGAGAAGGCGTATTACGTAGAAATTGGAAGTTTAGTCTATTACGTCTACAGGAAATAAAAAAAATTACCCATCAAGACTACGTAATGGTCATCTATTGCCTACAAGAGAAAATTAAATCTTGTACAAAATATTAATATTTCGACCTATGTCAAAATAAAATATTTAGTAAATTCTTAATTTTCTCTGTAATGGACGAATATCTTTTATCATATTGGCAGAGTGAGGACAACTTTGGCAACTACAAAATGACTACACAAAAAAGTCATAGGTTCTGGTAGTGGATGAATTTCCTTCCACTACATGTTATTTTGGTTGTAGTTTAAACAATTTAATAATTAATTTAATTTTAATTTTCTCATATCACTGAACGCTAATATATTTGCTATTATCTCATCTTTATAGGTTCAAAGTACTTGAGATAGTGACAGGAACCATACATTACATTTTTTGTTCAACTTTTCAATTCTGGTACCATTTTTTTTTAGCTATATCGAATGAAGGTACGAAAAATTAGTTACAGCTCTTCTCACTGTTAAAATAATATTGAAAAACTTGACTTGAATATCTACAAATTTTGACCCAGTACTTTTTTAAGTTTTTAAATTTTTACTTAAACAATGCATACAAAAATTATCTGAATATCTCACAATTACAGGTTAAGCTTTAGACGAAACAAAGACATTGATTCTTCTGATTAATACCGAAGGAAAAGGAAGTACATGAATGATTTCTAGTCTCGATAAATAATCAGGTTTACGTGAATGCTCACTCGACAAAAATGCATTTATTATGCCTCGATATGACACACCCAGATTCTAGATAGAACTCCATGCGTATACTCAGCTTAAAAAAAGTTGCGTCTTTCATGCATATGCTCGTGAAATGATATTTTCAAGACTGGCACATATACAGATGTAATTATACAGGGTGAGGCGCTTATATTAATTAAAAATTAACA